GCTTCAAAACTTTATCTGCCATTTTCCAATCCCTGCCTGTTTTAGAATCGCCTTGTTTGCAAAATGATTTAGCCATCTTAGAAAGCTGTTATGAAGAGAGATAATCCATTATCATAGGCTTGGCATTTTGTAGCCTCAAAAAATGGCACCTCAGCCTCCTGAGTAGCTGGGACCACAGGTATGAACCACCAGGCACAGCTACTTTTTAATTTTTTTATAGAGACAAAGTCTAGCCCGGTTGCTCCAGAGCTCAGGAGATCCTCCTGCCTTTGTTTTCCAAAGTGCTGGGATTACAGGTGTAAGGCACCTCCCCTTGCCATCCCCATTTCAAAGATGAGGAACCTGAGGCTCAGAGTTAAGAGGCTTGCCCAGGATCCCACAGCTAGAAAAGAAAGATTCTGGGGGCCGGGTGCGGTGGCTCAAGCCTGTAACCCCAGCACTTTGGGAGGCCAAGGCGGGTGGATCACTAGGTCAAGAGATCGAGACCATCCTGGTCAACATGGTGAAACCCCGTCTCTACTAAAAATATTTTTAAAAATTAGCTGGGCATGGTGGCGCGTGCCTGTAATCCCAGCTACTCAGGAGGCTGAGGCAGGAGATTTGCCTGAACCCAGGAGGCGGAGGTTGCGGTGAGCCGAGATCACGCCATTGCACTCCAGTCTGGGTAACAAGAGCGAAACTCCGTCTCAAAAAAAAAAAAAAGAAAGATTCTGTTTGATTCCCAAATCTGGAATCTTCTCACTGCCCAGGTGCAGGCCCCATTCCTTCTTCAGAGTTACTGGGAGTTCCCTGCACCTCTTCCACCAGAAGAGACAGAAGAGACCTAGGATTTCAGAGGCCAGGAAGCATTTAAGTCAAAGCCCCAAGGCTCTGGCAGTGACTTGCTGGTGCTGATGACAGCTCTCCATCTAACCCTTCTCTCCCTGCCCCTGACACTTTCTGTCCCCCTCTCTCCCAGCAAGGGCTGGACTCACTTCTGTGGCCTCACCCCAGTACTATGGTTGCCTAACACCTTCCACCTGATCTGTGTGGGAGGCCCATCTCTGGACTCACCAGCCCTGCCGTCTTTGTCACAGTCTCTGTCCAGGCCAATGTGTTCTCTAGCTCAGCTTACTCCTTCTCCTCCATTCATTCTTTCAGGAAACATTCTAGAACCTTCCTCCAACGGCCCAATATTGAGCAACACAGACCAGGACTGGCCCTATGGCAAAGTCAGGTCTGGGTCATGGAATCGAATGGGTGTGTTGCCACGTGTGGTGGGGCTCATGCCTGAAGTCCCAACACTGGTAGGTTGAAGTGGGAGGATCGCTTGAGGCCAGGAGTTCCAGACCAGGCTGGATAACACAGCCTATATAGTCCCAGCTACTTCGGAGACTGAGGCAGGAGGATTGCTTGAGCCCAGGAGGTTGAGGTAGCAGTGAGCTATGATTGCACTACAGCACTCCAGCCTGGGTGACAGAGTGAGACCCTGTCACTAATAATAATAATATTTAAAAGGAGTGTATTGTGTTGAGGCTAAGGCAGCACAGAGGCTGGAGAGGCGTGGATTCACAAAATGTGTAGGGGGAAGGCAGGAAAAGCATTTCCACAGGAGGGAACAGCTTGAGCCAGTGGGGAGGAAGCAGGACTTCCTGGGCCCACTGGGCCGGGGCGCTGGTATCCCTGTTTATCTTTTAATGCTGAGAGGCTGCGCATCATCCCTGCAGAAGCTCCACATCACTTTGTCCCTATCCCCAACATCTCCTCCCTTTACTCGTGGTCATGCTGTCCAGCCTTCGTTCTTACCTCCACCCCGGACAAAGCCGCGGCCTCCTCCCCAGTTTCCTGCCAGGAAGGCAGGTCTCTCTGCAAACTACGCCCAGGCCAGCGCTACCTGAGCCCCAGATCTATCCCCAAAACCCCAGTCTAGGGGCCTCCTTGCCCAGTGCCACAGTCGGCAGTGCGGAGGGCCTGCGTCCTTACACAAACGCCAAGGGCAGAACAGGGCCTTGGAGGTTCTGAGACCCCACCTCTCCCCGCCTGCGCGGGGGAGAAGAAGGAATGAGCCGCCTTGGCCCCATCCGGCCCTCCGCGCCTCTCGCCGGCTCTCGGTCTCTCTCCGCCTCTACTTCCCGTCCCAGGCTCTCCGGTCCCTGCCTCTCCGGCTCTCTCCCGGTCTCGGTCTCCGTTTCTCCGTGTCTTTCTCTCTCTCCCCGCACCCCCTCCCCCGGCCTCTTCCCCAGCCGGGAGGGGGAGATCGCTCCGTAAATAGGCGGATGGCCCCGGGCGCTGCGGGCGCAGACACTCGTTTTTAGAGCCGGTAATTGACTCCTTTCAGTTGATAATTCATGGCTTGCATATGCGCTTTAATGCGGGCGCCCGGGGAGGCGCGGCCGGCGGAGCCGGAGCGGGGCGCGGGCCTGCGCGGCCGCCCGTCAGTGTCCGCGGGAGGCGTGGGCGTGGGCGTGGGCGCGGGCGCTCCCACCCGGGCTGCCTGCCCCGCGCTCCCGAGGCCCCGCGCCGCGGAAGGGGCGTGCGCTGGGTGGGACATAAAGGCCGGGCGGTCCCTGAGCGGCGCGGGGCAGACTAGCCGGGCCTTGGAACTGAATGCGGGAGGGGGCACGTGGGCACCCCTTCCCCAGTCAGCCAAAGGGGAAGCTGAGGTTCAGAAAGGGAATAGGTCTTACGCAGAACCGAGGTCAGAATTCAAGACCCCCTTCCCGGAACATCCTAGTCAGGCCCCTTAGTCCCAACTTTTCTAGAGCCCCTCACCCTGGGAATGCTCCTGTTTTTGAGCTAAATTCCTGCGCTGGAGTGACCCACCCTGTTGCTCTCTCATAGGCACCCGCAGGAGGGGCTGGCTCTTCCCCGTAAATTCTGGGCACAGACACCCAGACCTGAGCAGGCCCCTCACCCCACAGCGACTCCCAGGCTGGGGAGCGGGAGCCCGAGTACCTCCCACCTGCTCCCTTGGCTTCTGAGGGTCTGTCTCATCCTGCAGCTGGGCAGACGTGATCTTCAGCCACATGTTACAGATGCTTAGAGAAGCTGAAGATTTGCACAATGTCTCAGAGGAAACAGAGCCAGAACCTGGACCCGTGTGTGTACCCCGACCAAGCCCTCCATGGTGGAAGGAATTGGAGTGGGAAGGAGAGGAGGAGACATAGGGTCCAGGAGGTTCCATATGTACCCCCACATGGACCTTAGAGAGGTCTCCACAGCAGGAGAGCAAATGACATCCACAGTCACAGACCACCGAGTGATTTCGGATGAAGATGGTGCTGGCAGGTAGTTGTTAGGAGTCAGAGGTTAGGGGTCAGCACTGGAGCTGGCGCTGGGGAGGAAGAAGGTTGTTGACTCCAAACACCAGCTCAGGAGATACTAGAGAAAGCCCAGGCGGAAGGGAAGTCTGCACCCTGTCTATGGTAGGTACCATAGACAGGGCTTTCCATTTATTCAGTCCCTTGAGCTGGTATCTGCCTCCCCTTTTCCCCAGGCTAATTCCAGCCAAAATAGAAGTCTACCTCCTGCATCTTAAAATCTGCAAATATTTAGCGTAAAGCCAAAGTGCCTGGCTAATTCCTGCATCCCTCTATCTCCGTCGCTCCACTTGCTAGTTTCCCCATCAGCGCAATAGATCTCACTGGAGATGTCACTGCAGATTTCACTTAGGAAGTCACTGCGACAGTGGGTCTGAGAGCAGAGGGCAAAGGCTGTCTGGGACTTGAGAAGCTCAATGCTGCCCTCTGGTGCCCAGAATGCAGGAGACACCTGAGGTCTCCCACTTTCTCCAAGCTGCTCAGACCTCCATCCAACTGGGCAGGGAAGACAGGTCACCAGCTCACCAGCCCTACTAACTCCATTTGAGGGGAAACTCTGAGGCTCCTTCTCCTGCAGAGATCTCAGACTCTGTGGTAGAGTTGGTGTGGGGGGACAGGTGACATCGGCAATAGCCCTGTCCAGCCTGCACCTGGACACCCTGAGTGGTTCCTTCTCTGGGAGGCAGAGGCAAGTCTGCCCCCTCTGCTGTGCAATTCCTGGGGTCTTCATATGAGTTAAATGATTTTAAGTCAGGCTTTTTTTCTGCTGAAATTTCACATTTGTGTTCAAAACGGTTGCTCAAAATATGTAGGGTGGATGGATTCCATTCCTTTGCATTGTCTTCAGAAGGTCTGTGCTATAAAGCACAGGGAAAAGTGAGTTCATTAATTTGCATAGTTGGCAGGAAGTAGGGCTACAAAGAGGTATGGGATGGGGGAAGGGAGAGATTTGATGGGAGGAAGATCTCAAGAGAGTTCAGATGAAGGGAAAATGATGCTGGAGGGGGTATTGGAGGGATCAAGAAAGGCTTCCTGGAGGAAGTGGCATTTGACACAGGGCTTGAAGGACAGAGAAGACAGCAATGGTGTTCAAGTGGAGGGAAAAGTCTGAACAGCAGCACGGAGCCAGAAGCATAAGCTGCGCTTGTACTGGTGAGAAGGCTCCAGTTTGAGGGAACGGAAGGAGGTAGTGCTGTGGTGGAGCCATGGGAAAAGAGGCCATGGAGGATCCTGGAGACATGCTGATGTCAGACCAAGGAATTGGTGCTTTGTGGCAAAAGCACTGAATTGTGAGCCAGGGGTCTGGGTCTTAACCCAAGCTCCACTCTGACTGAGTTCCACTGTCTTGGCCTTGCTCTCTGGAGCCCTCTCCAGACATCACTGGGAATCCTGGCAAGTTCTTAATAAGGACAGTGCCCAGAAATCTCAGCTCAGAGTGGTCAAGCTTGTAGGTACCATAGACCTTATTAAATCTAACCCCTTCAATGTGCAGATCAGAAGACTCAGGTGCAGAGAGGTGAAGGGACTTGCCAGCATCACACAACAAGTCAGGGACAGAGCCAGGACCTGGACCCAGATCTCCAGCCTCTCTTTCCCCACTGCAGTCTAGGGTAGCATCAGGGGGACTGAACTGGAGAGCAGCTGGAGGCAGAAGACCAGGAGGTCACAGCCCCACCCAGACCAGAGATCATGAGGCGAGGACTAGTCAGAAAATGTTTATTGAGCTCCTCACCCTGCTCCCTATCTTGGGCCCATCTGAGGAGTATTGAGCACCCACACAGAGGGACCACAAAGAAAATGAACCTGGTGGGGTTCCAGAAGGAGGAGACATAGGTGGACATGGTATTCATGAGAAGGAAAGGGCATCAGGAGCACACTTGGATAAGGGTCTAGGAAGGTCTACTAGAATAACACCAAGAAAATATTTTAGAAACAAGGTCTCGCTATGTTGCCCAGGTTGGTCTCAAACTCGTGGCCTCAAGCAATCTGCCAGCCTCTGCCTCCCGACCTGCTGGGATTACAGGTACGAACCACCACAATCAGCCCCATGTTTCTTGAGCTGTTACTCCATTCCAGGAGCCTGTCACTTGGGCCCCCTCTGGTTCTTGACCAAGGTATCCACCTCCTTCATGAACCGGAGACACAGCTCATCTTCCCATGGCAAAGCAATGCACTGCACAGCCACTGGAAGTCCCACGGATCCACTCATCACCTGCCAGGAGAGAGGGTCGGGAACTCAGAGCCTGCTTCCTGCTCACAGGCTCCTTGCCTGGCTCTGTTCATCATCCATGCTGCTCTGGGCCTCTGTACCAAGGGCTGGTCTAGGTGATGCTTCAGTCCAAACATTCCTTTCTCAATCTACATTAAGGTAAAAATTACCTAGATCTCAGAATTCCAGGCTTCCTCAGCTCTCAGTGAAACCCGAAAAGACTGTTCCGATTTTACTGTCCGTAGTTCTCCAGGGTTAGCATGTAAAACTTGATCCCTATGCAGAATGCTGATTATAATGATGAAATAGAAAGCTGAGCATCCACCCAATGTTCAGGCAAGAGAAAGAAGAGTATGCTAATCCCTGATCCAGATCCTGGTTACCCTTTCACAGTGAAAGCATTGCCTTGGCCCAAAACAGGCCCAGGAACATGGGGGCTAAGCCTGGGCCCCTGCCATGAAATTCAGACATCCTTGTAGGAATTTAAATCTGTTTTCTTCGCTTTATGATGATATCATTTGAGGCTGTATTTGCCTTTGTCTCTGGAGTCAGATCACCTGGCTTCAAGTCCTAGCTCCTCCACTTCAATTGGCTGTATGGCTTTGGTCCAGTCCCTTAATCTGTCTGTGCCTCCATTTTCCTCATTTAAAAAAACCTCACAAGAGAGCTATGGAATGTAATGATTTCATATTTATACACAGCATTTTTAACCACCTCCTGGAACCGAGTAAGTGCTCAAGACACATAAGGTAGTGTCATTATTGTTATTTTCTCAGAATTCAGGTCAGCAGTTCCACTGGGTAACTCTAGCACTAAAATCAATTTCCAGAAAAAGTAAGTCAGTTAATGTCCGACTCAGACACGTGCATATGTTTCAGAGTCGGCCTCTTTCTCTTCCTCCCACTCCTTCTCTCTCATCAAAGCCAGGTGTGTTATTATAGACCCTGCAGTTAAACATGCGGTAATATTTCCTTTTATGAAACCACCTCTGAATGACTAACAGTCCCATTTATTGAACACTTCCTATACATAACACCTTATGCAAATTGCTTCATTCTCTTTTTCAAATTAATTAACCTTTAGCACAACCCTGCAAAGTAGATGTTTTTATTCCCACTTTCCAGGTGAAGAAACAGAGGTCCCAAGAGAGGTCATGTCCAGACCAGAAACCCAGTAAGCTCCTAATAGGAGCTTTTACCCTGCTCCACCCTCCCTGCCTCTAAGATCAAGTTTACTTACAGAAATGCAAAGAAGGCCTAGTGCAATGACACACACCTGTAATCCCAGCACTTTGGGAAGCCAAGGCAGGCAGACCATTTGAGGCCAGGTGTCCGAGACCGGCCTGGCCGACATGGTAAAACCCTGTCTCTGCTAAAATTACAGAAATTAGCTGGGCACTAGCACTGAAATGTCCTTTGAAAAAAAAAAAAGAATGAAAAATTAGCTGGGTGTGGTGGTGCATGCCTGTAATCCTAGCTACACTTGGGAGGCTGAGGCAGGAGGACGGCTCAAACTCGGGATGTGGAGGTTGAAGTGATCTAAGATGGCACCACTGCACACCAGCCTGGGTGAAAGAGCAAGACTCCATCTCAAAAAAAGGAAAAGAAGAAGAAAGGGAGGAGGAGGAGGAGAAGAATAAATGCAAAGAAGACCACTGGTTCTGCAGTTTTCTCCCCTGACATGGATGGGGCTGACGTGGAGGTCAAATGATGTGTCCTCAGGGTTGGGGTGAAACTAGCATAAGTGACAAAGGGTAACACCAGGAATGACCAGCCCCGCCCTACTCTCTCCACCACCACCTACTGGGGCCCCGGCCCTGATTTGTCCCCTGCAGGAGAAGCTCAGAGAAGGAAACTGACCTCTGGGAAATGTTTGTCAGAACTATCTCCGTAGTACCCCTTGTAGAAGGCCAGCTCCTCCTCGTCCTGTGGTGTCACAGTAGTAACAGGCACTACGCCTACGGGAAAGTCCAGGACGTTGTACAGGCTCACGTAGGACTGGCATTCTGCAGGAAGATCCAGATAAGCTCAGGACACCGACTGGTGTCCTGTGTCATCTTGACAATGGCCTCAAGCTCTCCCCAGGGTGGAGGGAAGGAGGGAATCCGAATTGCAGAAGCCTTACTCAGTGCCAGGCACTGTGCTGGCCTCATCACATTGCTTATCCCTTGAGTTCTCTCGACTCTGTGAGGTGGGGAGTGTACCAATTGCCTGTGTACCAATGAGGAAATCGAGTGTCAGGGTTAGGGTCTTTTCCAAGGCTACATAGCTAGTGAATGGCAGAGGATTCAGCCCATGCCTTCCTGGGCACAGGACTTCAAGATAGCAGGGGTGTACAGTGCCACCTGGAGTGGACAGCTTTTCTGCAGCAGCCACTTGTGTGCAGAGAGAGTCAGGTGTGGGATGCATCTTTGGCTGGCCACAGTGAGGGAACGAGGAAGACACGTTCTTAAGGTCAGGGGAGAGGAGTCCAGGCTCCAGTTTGGAACTTGGTTTCATCCTGCCTTGGGCAGCACCTTTGAAACCAGCACCTGTGCATGGGACCCAGGAATGGCCCAGATACTACGCTGTTTCAGGCAGGCTGGGCTAAAGACGCCTTTTGAAATGGGGCAGCAGAGACCAAGAGTAAATGGATCAGCCTGGTGTGGTGGCTCACCTCTGTAATCCCAGCACTTTGGGAGTCTGAGGTGGGTGGACCACCTGAGGTTGGGAGTTCGAGACCAGCCTAGCCAACATGGTACAACCCCATGTCTACTAAAAATGAGAGAAATTCTGGGGTGATGGAATATATATCCTATAAATTCTAAAAATATATTCCGTATTTCTGATTATAGTGGTGGTTTTACAACCGTATACATTTGTTGAAATTCATCAAATTGCACCTAAAATCAATGAATTTTATAGCATATAAATTATACTTCCATAAAGTTCATTTCTAATGTGAATGGAAATTGCTAACAGGTAGAAGTTTTCTTTTCAGAGTGACAGAAATGTTCAGAAATTAGATAATGGTGGTGGTTGCATGGCATTTTGAAATACTAAAAAACACTTAATTATATGCTTTAAAATGATGAATTTGTGTTATCTGACTTTTATCTCAATTTAAGAAATATTTTTAAAAAGTGAATGGAGACAGAGGGCAAGGTCTCAGAAGCTGGGGCGGGACTCCCAATCTCAACTCCACCAGGACCCAATGTGCTCTCACCTGGTGATTGGGAGAAACAACCTATACAGAAGGCAGGGGCTACAACTGGCGTCAGCAGCACATCCAAGTCCAGGGACCTCCACTTGGCTATGAACTCTTGCTGATATTCCTGCAGGGACAGTGAGGGGTCGGGGGGTAGGACTGGCAGGGGTTACTGTTTGTCAGACAAGGTCAGATGCTGCCAGGCAGCATTGAGTTGCACATCAGGAAGAAATCTCAGGCTATGAGCTGTGGCCTGAGATACCTGCGGAGGTTCAGGGTCTTCCCAGGGACAAAGGTGAGGCAATGGGAAGCTGAATCTCAGGTCACAAAGATTTGGGTACAATGCTCCAGGTAGATGGATTAGAATAACCTCTGAGGTCACCAGGCCTCCCCACCCAGGTCCAGCTGGGCCTCCCCTGCAGGCCAGGACATAACTCTGGCCACTCAGGGCACTACCCAGATCTCTGCAGCCCAGGCTTCAGCAACCCCTCAAGGTCTTCCTAGGCTTGCATTACCTCCACTGCTGTGTGCTGCTCCCACAGTTTCTTGGGTGTCCTGAGAGAATGAGAAAGACTCGGAGAAGTTCAAAGGTCAGCATGGGAGGGACCCCTTTTATACAAATGAGGACATGACACCCAAGGCCTCAATGCAGGCTACAAATTAGCTGATGGGGTGGGAGTGACCCTGTGTCTTGTCCCCTGGCCAAGACATCTTGCCTGCCCAAGGTCCCCAAGAACACACATCTTCTGGTCAATCTACCCCTCATTGACCAGGCACGGGAACTCATGGGCTGCCTCAAAGGCTCCTTACCCTAATCTATGAGACACCCAGTTAGCCCTCAGTCCAGGCCAACCCAACTCTGCCCAGCGTCTCAACTCCAACCCTCACCAGGCCAAGCCCAACAGCAAACCCAAGCCCATGCCAGAGTCCTCTCCCAACCTCATCTCTATCGCCTACCTAGCCCCACCCAACTCCAGCCTCAGTCACAACCCGCCTCCAAATCTATCTTCGCCCCAACTCCAACTCAAACCAACTCCAAGCCCAGCCTCAGTCTTAAGCCCATCCCCAAATAAAACCTAATCTCAACTTCAGCCCCACACTTACCTAAACCTAGCTGTAATTCAGATCTTTTTTTTTTTTTCTTGAGATGGAGTCTCTCTGTCACCCAGGCTGGAGTGCAGTAGCATCATCTTGGCTCACTGCAACCTCTACCTCCTAAGTTCAAGCGATTCTCCTGTCTCAGCCTCCTGAGTAGTTGGAATACAGGCACATGCCACCACGGCAGGCTGATTTTTGTACTTTTAGTAGAGACGGGGTTTTATCATGTTGTCCTAGCTGGTCTTGAACCCCTGGCCTCAAGTAATCCTCCTGCCTTGGCCTCCCAAAGTGCTGGGATTACAGGCATGAGCCACCGCACCAGGCCTTAATTCAGATCTCAGCTCCAAATCAAGTCCCAATACCAATCAAAAAGTTTCAATCTAACACTAATGTCAGGCATGATCCCAAAACCTAATTAGAGTTCAAAATCTAAATAGCTCCCCTCTAAGTGGACACCAACTGTAGCCACCCCTCCTCAATTCCCACCACCACATGGGCAACCGTTGTGAGCAGGAGCTGGTCCTTGGGAGACTCACCCCACTCCACGAATCTCTTCAAATTGCTGGCTAGTTCGGGGATACTAGAGGGGGGATGAGAGGGGGAGTTCAACTTCAGAACCCACAAAAAGCAGCCAGCCTGCCCAGGAGGGGGTCCAAGAAGGGTGGCATTGCTCAGCACACTGACACGGAACCCTCTAATTCTCAACAAGCCTATATCACTTCACCAAGCCCTGAGCCCCTCCAAGCTCACACCCTCCCTCTAGCCCTCCAAGTCCCCTCCTCCCTTTCTTTTTTTTGAGATGAAGTCTTGCTCTGTCACCCAGACTGGAACGCAATGGCACGATCTCAGCTCACTGCAACCTCCACCTCCCAGGTTCAAGTGATTCTCCTGCCTCAGCCTCCTGATTAGCTGGGATTACAGGTCAGTGCCACCACAAGCAACTAATTTTTGTATATTTTTTTTAGTAGAGGCGGGGTTTCACCATGTTGGTCAGGCTGATCTCGAACTCCTAACCTCGGGATCCATCCACCTCGGCCTCCCAAAGTGCTGGGATTACAGGTGTGAGCCACCATACCTCTTTCCCCTTTCTGAGCCTCCTCTCTGAAACCCCTTCCCCTCTCTGTGAGCACCCCACTCTTTTAGCCCTATCCTCTTCTTTTACTATTTTTTTAAAATTAATTTTATTTTGTTTTGTTTTGAGACAGAGTCTTGTCACCCAAGCTGGAGTGCAATGCACGATCTCAGCTCACTGCAGCCTTGACCTTCTGGCCTCAAGCAATCCTCCCACCACAGCCTCCAGAGTAGCTAGGACCACAGGCATGCACCACCACACCCAGCTAATCTTTTTTTTTTCAATTGCATTTTAGGTTTTGTGACATGCAAGACTGTTGCATAGGTACACACATGGCCGTGTAATTTGCTGCCTTCCTCTCCTTCACCTATATCTGGCATTTCTCCCCATGCTATCTCTCCCCAGCTCCCCACCCCCTGCTGTCCCTCCCCTATTCCCCGCTACAGACCCCACTGTGTAGTGCTCCCCTCCCTGTGTCCATGTGTTCTCATTGTTCAACACCTGCCTATGAGTGAGAACATGCGGTGTTTGATTTTCTGTTCTTGTGTCAGTTTGCTGAGAATGATGGTTTCCAGATTCATCCATGTCCCTACAAAGGACACGAACTCATCATTTTTGATGGCTGCATAATATTCCATCGTGTATATGTGCCACATTTTCCTTGTCCAGTCTATCATCAATGGGCATTTGGGTTGGTTCCAGGTCTTTGCTATTGTAAACAGTGCTGCAATGAACATTCGTGTGCATGTGTCCTTATAGTAGAACGATTTATAGTCCTTTGGATATATACCCAGTAATGGGATTGCTGGGTCAAATGGAATTTCTGTTTCTAAGTCCTTGAGGAATAGCCACACTGTCCTCCACAATGGTTGAACTAATTTACACTCCCACCAATAGTGTAAAAGTGTTCCTATTTCTCTACGTCCTCTCCAGCATCTGTTGTCTCCAGATTTTTTAATGATTACCATTCTAACTGGTGTGAGATGGTATGTCAGTGTAGTTTTGATTTGCATTTCTCTAATGACCAGTGATGATGATAATTTTTTCATATGTTTGTTGGCCTCATGTATGTCCTCTTTTGTAAAGTGTCTGTTCATATCCTTTGCCCACTTTTGAATGGGCTTGTTTGTTTTTATCTTGTAAATCTGTTTGAGTTCTTTGTAAATTCTGGATATCAGCCCTTTGTCAGATGGGTAAACTGCAAAAATTTTTTCCCATTCTGTTGGTTGCCGATTCACTCTAGTGACTGTTTCTTTTTCCGTGCAGAAGCTGTGGAGTGTGATTAGGTCCCATTTGTCTACTTTGGCATTTGTTGCCACTGCTTTTGGTGTTTTGTTCATGAAGTCCTTGCCTACTCCTATGTCCTGAATGGTTTTGCCTAGATTTTCTTCTAGGGTTTTTGTGGTGTTAGGTCTTATGTTTAAGTCTTTAATCCATCTGGAGTTAATTTTAGTGTAAGGTGTCAGGAAGGAGTCCAGTTTCTGCTTTCTGCACATGGCTAGCCAGTTTTCCCAACACCATTTATTAAACAGGGAATTCTTTCCCCACTGCTTGTTTTTGTCAGGTTTGTCAAAGATCAGATGGTTGTAGATATGTTGTGTTGCCTCCAAGGCCTCTGTTCTGTTCCATTTGTCTATATCTCTGTTTTGGTACCAGTACCATGCTGTTTTGATTACTGTAGCCTTGTAATATAATTTGAAGTTCGGTAGTGTGATGCCTCCTGCTTTGTTCTTTTTGCTTAGAATTGACTTGGCTATGTGGGCTCTCTTTTGGTTCCATATGAAGTTTAAGGTGGTTTTTTCCATTTCTGTGAAGAAGGTCATTGGTAGCTTGATGGGGATAGCATTGAATCTGTAAATTACTTTGGGCAGTATAGCCATTTTCATGATATTGATTCTTCCTAACCATGAGCTTGGAATGTTTCTCCATCTGTTTGTGTCCTCTCTTAATTCGTTGAGCAGTGGTTTGTAGTTCTCCTTGAAGAGGTCCTTTATGTTCCTTGTTAGTTGTATTCCTAGGTGTTTTATTCTCTTTGTAGCAATTGTGAATGGCAGTTCGTTCTTGATTTGGCTCTCTTTAAGTCTGTTATTGGTGTATAGGAATGTTTGTGATTTTTGCACATTGATTTTGTATCCTGAGACTTTGCTGAAGTTGCTTATCAGTTTCAGGAGTTTTTGGGCTGAGACGATGGGGTCTTCTAGATATACAATCATGTCGTCTGCAAATAGAGACAATTTGGCTTCCTCCTTTCCTATTTGAATAGCTTTTATTTCTTTTTCTTGCCTGATTGCTCTGGCTAGAACTTCCAGTACTATATTGAATAGGAGTGGTGAGAGAGGGCATCCTTGTCTAGTGCCAGATTTCAAAGGGAATGCTTCCAGTTTTTGCCCATTCAGTATGATATTGGCTGTTGGTTTGTCATAAATAGCTTTCAGGGCCGGGCGTGGTGGCTCAAGCCTGTAATCCCAGCACTTTGGGAGGCCAAGGCAGGTGGATCACAAGGTCAAGAGACTGAGACCATCCTGATCAACATGGTGAAACCCCGTCTCTACTAAAAATACAAAAAAAAATTAGCTGGGCATGGTGGCGCGTGCCTGTAATCCCAGCTACTCAGGAGGCTGAGGCAGGAGAATTGCCTGAACCCAGGAGGCAGAGGTTGCAGTGAGCCGAGATCATGCCATTGCACTCCAGTCTGGGTAACAGGAGTGAAACTCTGTCTCAAAAAAAAAAAAAGAAAAAAAAATAGCTTTTATTATTTTGAGATACGTTCTGTCAATACCTAGTTTATTGAGGGTTTTTAGCATAAAGGGCTGTTGAATTTTGTCAAAGGCCTTCTCTGCATCAATTGAGATAATCATGTAGTTTTTGTCTTTGGTTCTGTTTACGTGGTGAGTTACATTTATAGACTTGTGTATGTTGAACCAGCCTTGCTTCCCCGGGATGAATCCTACTTGATCATGATGAATAAGTTTTTTGATTTGCTGTTGCAATCGGCTTGCCAATATTTTATTGAAGATTTTTGCATCTATGTTCATCATGGATATTGGCCTGAAGTTTTTTTTTCTTATTGAGTCTCTGCCGGGTTTTGGTATCAGGATGATGTTGGTCTCATAAAATGATTTGGGAAGGATTCCCTTTTTGGGGGTTATTTGGAATACTTTCAGAAGAAATGGTACCAGCTCCTCTTTGTATGTATGGTAGAATTCAGCTGTGAACCCATCTGGACCTGGGCTTTTATTGTGTGATAGGCTCTTAATTGCTGCCTCAACTTCAGACCTTGTTATTGGTCTATTCAGGGTTTCGACTTCTTCCTGGTTTAGGCTTGGGAGGAGACAAGTGTCCAGGAATTTATCCATTTCTTCCAGGTTTACTAGTTTATGTGCATAGAAATGTTTGTAATAATATCTGATGATGGTTTGAATTTCTGTGGAATCTGTGGTGATATCCCCTTTATTGTTTTTTATTGCATTTATTTGGTTATTCTTTTTTTACTTTTCTATTAATCTGGCTAGTGGTCTATTTTGTTGATCTTTTTGAAAAACCAGCTCCTGGATTTATTGATTTTTTTGAAGGGTTTCTTGTGTCTCTATCTCCTTCAGTTCTGCTCTGATCTTAGTTATTTCTTGTCTTCTGCTAGGTTTTGAGCTTTTTTGATCTTACTCCTCTAGCTCTTTCAATTTTGACTTTAGGGTGTCAATTTTGGATCTCTCTACTCTTCTCATGTGGGCACTTATTGCTATATATTTTCCTCTAGAGACTGCTTTAAATGTGTCCCAGAGATTCTGGTATGTTGTGTCTTCATTCTTGTTGGTTTCGAAGAACATCTTTATTTCTGCCTTCATTTCATTGTTTATCCAGTCAACATTCATGAGCCAGTTGTTCGGTTTCCATGAAGCTATGTGGTTCTGAGTTAGTTTCTGAATTCTGAGTTCTAATTTGATTGCACTGTGGTCTGAGAGACTGTTTATTATGATTTTCATTCTTTTGCATTTGCTGAGGAGTGATTGACTTCCAATTATGTGGTCAATTTTAGAGTAGGTGTGATGTGGTGCTGAGAAGAATGTATATTCTGTGGATTTGGGGTGGAGAGTTCGGTAAATATCTATCAGGTTTGCTTGTTCCAGGTCTGAGTTCAAGTCCTGGATATCCTTGTTAATTTTCTGTCTGGTTGATCTGTCTAATATTGACAATGGGGTGTTAAAGTCTCCCACTATTATTGTGTGGGAGTCTAAGTCTCTTTGTAAGTCATTAAGAACTTGCCTTATGTATCTGGGTTCTCCTGTATTGGGTGCATATATATTTAGGATCGTTAGCTCTTGTTGCACTGATCCTTTTACCATTATGTAATGTCCTTCTTTGTCTCTTTTGATCTTTGTTGCTTTAAAGTCTATTTTATCAGAGACGAGAATTGCAGCTCCTGTTTGTTTTTTTTGTTTTTTTTTTTCTCTCTCCATTTGCTTGGTAAATCTTCCTCCATCCCTTTATTTTGAGCCTTTGTGTATCCTTGCATGTGAGATGGGTTTCCTGGATACAGCACAACGATGGGTTTTGGCTTTTTATCCAATTTGCCAGTCTGTGTCTTTTGATTGGTGCATTTAGCCCATTTACATTTAGGGTTAATATTGTTATGTGTGAATTTGATACTGCCATTTTGATGCTATCTGGCTGTTTTGCCTGTTAGTTGATGCAGATTCTTCATTGTGTTGATGCTCTTTACCATTTGGTATGTGTTTGGAGTGGCTGGTACTGGTTGTTCCTTTCTATGTGTAGTGCCTCTTTCAGGAGCTCTTGGAAAGCAGGCCTGGTGGTGATGAAATCTCTGAGTACTTGCTTGTTTGCAAAGGATTTTATTTTTCCTTCACTTATGAAGTTTAGTTTGGCTGGATATGAAATTCTGGGTTGAAAGTTCTTTTCTTTAAGGATGTTGAATATTGGTCCCCACTTTCTTCTGGCTTGTAGGGTTTCTGCCAAGAGATCTGCTGTGAGTCCGATGGGCTTCCCTTTGTGGATAACCCGACCTTTCTCTCTGGCTGCACTGAGCATTTTCTCCTTCATTTTAACCCTGGTAAATCTGATGATTATGTGCCTTGAGGTTGCTCTTCTTGCGGAATATCTTTGTGGTGTTCTCTGTATTTCCTGGACTTGAATATTGGCCTACCTTGCTAGGTTGGGGAAATTTTCCTGGATAATATCCTGAAGAGTATTTTCCAGCTTGGATTTATTCTCTTCATCACATTCAGGTACACCTATCAAATGTAGATTAGGTCTTTTCACATAGTCCCATATTTCTTGAAGACTTGGTTAATTCCTTTTTACTCTTTTTTCTCTAATCTTGCCTTCTCATTTTATTTCATTGAGTTGATCTTTGACCTCTGATATACTTTCTTCTGCCTGGTCAATTGTTGAAACTTGTGCATGCTTCGGGAAGTTCTCGTGTTGTGTAATTCTTTTCTTTTTTTTTTTTTGAGACGGAGTTTTGCTCTTCTTACCCAGGCTGGAGTGCAATGGCATGATCTCGGCTCACTGCAACCTCCACCTCCTGGGTTCAAGCAATTCTCTTGCCTCAGCCTCCTGAGTAGCTGGGATTACAGGCACGCGCCACCATGCCCAGCTAATTTTTTGTATTTTTAGTAGAGACGGGGTTTCACTATGTTGACCAGGATGGTCTCAATCTCTTGACCTCATGATCCACCTGCCTCAGCCTCTCAAAGTGCTGGGATTACATGCGTGAGCCACCGCGCCTGGCCCTTGTTGTATTTTTCAGCTCCATCAATTCACTTATATTCCTCTCTGAGTTGTCCATTCTTGTTAGCATTTCATCAAATCTTTTTTCAACGTTCTTAGTTTCTTTGCATTGGGTTAGAACATGTTCTTTTAGCTCACAGAAATTTCTTATTACCCACTTCTCAAGCCTAATTCTGTCATTTCATCACAATCATTCTTTATCCAGCCTTGTTCCCTTGCTGGTGAAGAGTTGTGATCCCTTGCAGGAGGGGAGGTGTTCTGGTTTCGGGTATTTTCATCCTTTTTGCACTAGTTTCTTCCCATCTTTGTGGATTTATCCACCTATCGTCTGTGTAGTTGCTGACTTTCAGATTGGGTCTCTGAGTGAACATCCAGTTTGTTGATGATGAAGTTATTTCTGTTTCTTAGTTTTCCTTCTAACAGTGTGGTCCCTCTTCTGTAGGACTGCTGAGGTCCACTCCAGGCCCTGCTTGCCTGGGGACCACCTGCAGCAGCTGCAGAACAGTAAGGGTTGCTACCTGTTTCTTCTTCTGCTCTCTTTGTCCCAGAAGGATGCCTGCCAAATGTCAGTCTGATATCTCCTTTATGAAGTAACTCTTTGGATACACAGGGGTCAGGGAGCTGCTTGAGGAGACAGTCTGTCCTTTATAGAGCTCAAGTGCTTAGCTGTGAGCTCTGTTGTTCATTCAGAGCTGCTGGGCAGGTACATTTAAGTCTGCTATAGAAGAACTCATAAACCCCTTTTTTCTCCTGGTGCTCTGTCCTGAGGAGTTAGGGCTTTATTCATGAGTTTCCATTGTGCTGCTGCCTTTTTATCAGGGCTGCCCTGCCCAGCAAGGAGGCAGCCTAGTCACTGTCTGCCTGCAGAGGCTTTGCTGAGGTGCTCTGGGCTCCGCCCAGCTGCCGTGTGAACTTCCCTGCAGTCCTGTTTATATGGGTGTAATTAGAACTGCCTCGGCAATGGTGGCCCACCTCTGTAATGGTGGACTCTCTCTGTAATGGAAGGCTGCCTCAGCAATGGCAGACTACCTCCGTAGTGGTGGAGTACCTTGGTAATGGTGGATGCCCCTCCCCCACAGAGCTGGACCTTCCCGGGATCAGCTGTGCTTGCTGTAAAACTCTCAACCCAGAGTGTTTCCAGTTGCTGTTTATTTTTTTGTGGGGGTGGGACCAGCCGAGCCCGATCACCTGGCTCCCTGCCTCAGAGCCTTTTTTTTTAGTTGAACAGTTGACTCTTTCCCAGATGTTATAGTCGCCTGGAATCTGTGTGATTTCCCATGCGGTGATCCACTGCACCGGCTGAAACAGCAGCACTGAGATTCATGGAGCTTTTTTGCCTGGGAATCTCCTGGCCTGGCTCCGTTTCAGCCCCCTTTTTAATCAGATGAATGGGTGACTCTGCCTTCCTGGAGCTCCAATTGCCAGCTTAAAAGGGCACCCAGACCAGTGTATTTTGTATGGAGAACTGCCATGCCGGGGCTCCGGCAAAACAGCTGTGCCGGCCAAAACAGCCACACTGGAGACCCATGGGGCTCCTCCACCTGGGAATCTCCAGGTCTGTGGGCAATAAAAATCCATCTGGAAATGCGGTGTCCACTCGCCCTCTGCGCTTTCACTGGGAACTGCAATCCTAAACTGCTCCTAATCGGCCATCTTGGATCTTCCATTTATCTTCATTATTTTTAAAGAATGGAGTGTCACTATGTTCCCCACGCTGGTCTCAAACTCCTGGGCTCAAGCGATCCTCCTACCTTGGCCTCCCAAAGTGCTGGGATTACAGACATAAGCCACCACACATGCAGCCCCTCATTCTTCTTCCCGGTTTTGAACCCTTCTCTGAGGTTTCACCATTCTCTGGGCCTCATCCTCCTCTCTGACCCCACCCACTTCCACTCCTTCAGTAGGCCTCTGCTTTCTGAGCCCGTCTTCTCCCTGTGCTTCCTGCCCTTCCAAAGCTCTCTCTGACCAGGGCCTGCACTTACAATGTACATCAGGATCCAGGACAAGAAGCCCTTGATGGGGTCTGGCAGGCGGAGCTGGTTGACTAGGCCCTTGATGATGGGATCCACAATGTCCCCGTCTCTGAGGAACCAGTCTCAGATGGGTCAGTCACAGCCTTTAACCAATGGCCTGCCCCACAGCCACCCAACTCCCACTCCATAGACAAGAGGGAGGCCAAACCCAAAGATGCATTTCTGTTCTCAGTGCCATGCCTGGAACAGGGCCATCCTAAAGACAGGCCCAGTGGGTGACTTTTGGCATAAGGTCACATGATTAGCCAGAGGTATCCCTGCCCAGGGTCCCAGTTTCCCTCCTGGGACTCAGGTGGGCTCCAGCCCCGCTCCCCTACCCTGTTTCCACCATGCCCCACACCTGAGTCCCAGCAGATAACATACAGTTTCTCTAGAAGAGTGGCCCCTCCATCAGCAAACAGCCCCCCTGTGAACAAGTGTTTGATGGCGTATGCTGGCCGGGGGATGGAGAAGGGGATAACCTGGGGAAGCAGAGGCAGAGTCAGGGTCCAGAGCACCCCCCACCCTGCCAGATTCTCTGTCTCTGCATCCCCCAAGATTTCAAGAAGGACGCCACATCACCCCGTTCATCTCCATCCACCTCAGCACCTCAGCATGGCATGGGAAGCTTGTGTCACTGGTCGCTCTCCTGCCACACCTCCTCCCTCACCCTCACATGCAGATGCAACAGAACAGAACTAGAGCAGCCCTCATTTCCTGCATGCTTCACTGGGATCCAGCCAGCAGGACAAGTGCTTTGTCTATGGAACCGCATTTGATCTTCACAGCCACCCCATTGAATAGAAAACAAGCCCAGGGAGTTTAGAAGTCTAGCCCAAGATCAAGATCACATCGTAGAATCTCAAAGGGGAATTGAGGCCAGAACAAGCCCCTGGGGACAGGGGAAGTGGGGGTAGGGCTGGGAGTGGAGATTTTGAAGACAGAAAGCTCCTGACAGCCACTTGATGAAGGCAACAGAGACCCAAGCTAAAGGAATTATAGGAGTGAGTCTCTGAATCTCCACCACTGAGGGAGGAAGGCACAAAAGCTTGATGCCCCCTTATAGGGTAGGGCTCACCCTATCCCCACCTCTACCCCATCAGTCATCTCCAGAAAGCTCAGGGGGAACACAATTATCTCAGCAGCTCAAACTCAGACTCAGACGTAACCACCTTTGTCTCCAAGAATGGCCCATCCAGCATCCTCACACTGGTTCGGCCTCTCTCTGCCCAGTGCCAGGTGAGCCTACCTGGTGTCCTGCATCCTGGAGTAGCCGGCAGGTGAGCTGCACAGCCCTGGCCATGCTAGGCGAAGGCTGCGTGTAACCATCTGATTCATAGTAGCCGATTCGAAGGGGCCGGTTACTGGTGTAAACCTGCAGGCACAAGGGGCTGGGTGGAGTTCGGAGGAGAGATTGGGCTGGGGACAAGGTGGCCCCACTCTCTCCAGGAGCCATACTTTTAGGGCAGGTCCTTGGTCTACAGCTGTCCTCACCAAGGGAAGAATCCACATGGACACCCTAAGACCTCCTGGCAGCCTCCTTATATACTCTGCAGACTCTAGGTGCTCTAGGGAAGCCCCTGGAAGAAGGAGAAATGGATAAGGAGATGGGTGATGTGGGTAGATGTGATGGATAGTAGATAGATGGTAGACCGACTCCTGAGTTGGTAGGTGGATGGATGAGATGGTGAGTAGTTGGGTGGGCAGAGGCTTGAATCCATACGTGGGTGAGTGGATGAATGGATGGTTGGAGTTGAGCAGGTGGGCAGTAAGTAAGTCATGCACAGACATGAACACCTTTAAACTAGAGAGATGTTAGGAGAAGATGAGGATGAAGATGAATAGGGGCAAATACCCAGACCAGGGTCTGCAGTGGAGGGACCCTAGTCCTGGGAAGTGGGGTGCTGCCAGAAAGGTGGCTGCCCCTTACCTGTCACACAACGCATGTTTGTAGGGGCAAATCACAAACCTGAGATGATATGCAATGATCTCAGGTTGATAATGCTAAGAGGGGTGAAGGGAATCAGAGGAACAGACACTGCCAGGAGGTAGATAGAGACTGCCCTATGGAGAGGGTTCTGCAGTCAGATAGGGCTGGGTTCAAAACCCAGCTCTGCCAGTTACTAACTACATGATCACAGGCAAATCACTTCGCTTCCCCTCAGTCTCCCCAGCTGTAAACAGGAGGAGCACTGCTCATTCTATAGAGTGTTAGGAATGAATAAATGAAGGCTGATGTAGACAGAAGGGTGTGGGGAAATCTTCCAGCCTAACTTTTCTTTTTTTTTTTTTTTTTTGAGATGAAGTCTCACTCTGTCACCCAGCCTGGAGTGCAGTGGGATGATCTTGGCTCAATGCAACCTCTGCCTCACAGGCTCAAGCAATTCTCCGGCCTCAGCCTCCTGAGTACCTGGGATTACAGGGGCACACCGCCATGCCCAGCTAATTTTTGTATTTTTAGTAGAGACAGGTTTCACCATATTGGTCAGGCTGGTTTCGAACTCCTGACTTCATGATCCACCTGCCTTGGCCTCCCAAAGTGCCGGGATTATAGGTGTGAACCTCTGCACCCAGCCTTCAAGCCTAACCTCTTTATTGTACTGATGGGGAGGCTAAGGCCAAGAAAAGAGATGTGACTTGGCCAGGCTACCTAGAGGGTTAAAAGCCCAGCTTAACTGAATGCCACACTCTCTGAACCACAGCTGCTGAGTATTCTGCTGGCATGGGTTGGGTATATGGCACTGGAGGCCCTCTTTGGGGGCAATTACAGCTATAGCTCCAGATGGCCAAGAGGCCAAAGCAGCTGGTGTCCAGCAGGGACAGGAAACAAACTGGACTAAACATGTGGGCTTGTCACTCACTGCAGCCCGGGGTGGGAAAGAGGGTCTTCACCTTGGAAGGTAAGATGGCAGACAGGTCAGGAAGGAATGATGGTGGGGGTCAAGGAGCCCCCCAGGTCTGCTCTCCCACCTGGCTTACCTCCTCCCTGAAGGGCGTCCAGGGCACAGTGGGGTCCAGTCGGTGCATGTCTTCACTTAGCAGGGCTCGCAGGCACAGCGCCAGGCTCTCCACATCCCGGGCCATGGGGCCAGCCACCGTGCTCACTGCACAGAGAGGAGGGAAGAGAGGCAGGCACCTTTCAGATTTTTTGTTCTTGTTTGTTTTTGTTTTTTGGGACAAAGTCTCTTTCTGTCACCCAGGCTGGAGTGCAGTGGCATGATTTTGGCTCACTGCAACCACAGCCTCCGAGGTTCAAGCTATTCTCCTGCCTCAGCCTCCTGAGTAGCTAGGATTACAGGTGCCCACCACCACACCTGGCTAATTTTTGTATTTTTAGTAGAGACAGGGTTTCCCCATGTTGGCCAGGCTGGTCTCAAACTCCTGACCTCAAGTGATCTGCCTACCTCAGCTTCCCAAAGTGCTGGGATTACAGGCGTGAGCCACCATGCCCAGCCAGCACCTCTCATTTGTTCTGCTCTGGGGATCCCAACTGCCTGGCCTCAGAGGGTGGGTCCCAGGGTCATGGTCAGGATGAAGGAAGAGATTAAAGCTAAGTAGCAGGTCGGAAACCCTTCTCAGAGGGGCAAGGGTCACAGGACAAGGGGAGGCCGGGGGGGAACCGTGCAGTCCCCTCTCCCAGTCATCTGTGGAGCTGATCTGTCTGGAGATATGGGTTGAGCAAAGTGTCCTTGGCATGTTTAAAGACTGGCAGATTTGTCTTTAAATGGGTGTGGCCACAGGCACAGACAGGGACTTACCCGATTTCTTCCCCTTGATGGCAGAGGCAACTCCAGTGTAGCTGCAAAACACCCCCACCCAGAGCCCAGCATGTGAAGGGAAGGGCCTGGGTGCCAAGAGGCTTGAGCACCCAGGCAATGTGCTCCCCCAGGGCCCAGCCCACAAAAATAGGAGCTGCTTCAGCCTTCCGTGACTCTCTACTGCCCACAGCTTCAAGTCTGATCTCTTCAACTGCCTTTCACGGCTCTAACTCTTCATGGCTTCCCCTTCTAGCCTTTCCACACGTGCATATTGCTGTAGGCAAAGTCAGCCGCTTACATGCAGTCTTACAGCCTTCTAGACGCCACGTCATCTCTGCATGTCCGGCCCTCAAAACCAAGCTCAAATGCTGCCTCCTCCAGGAATCCCTCCCTTCCCTTGCCCTGCCTCTGAAAGTCAAGAGTATAAGCTTTTAATAAATCTCTGTTGAAGAAAATGTCAGCTTCCTCTTATGCATTCTCACAAGCTTTCACCTTCTCTTAGAGCCCTGATCACTTCTAAGTCATTTGCATGTCTAAGAGCACAGCAGGGGCAGGGGCTATGTCCAAGAGTGGTCTGTATCCCCAGTAGGGGCCATGGTGTGGGTACACAGAGTGGGGTCGAGGGATGGATGGACGGATGCATGCATGCATACATGAGAACACATGGATGGTTGGATGGATGGATGGTTGGATGAGCGGATGGGTGGATGGATGGATGGATGGATGGAGAGATGAATGGATAAATAAATAGTTGGAAGGAGAGGTGTGTGTAAGTTTTTCAAAGGCTGAGATATTTGTCTATTTTGTTCACTGCAGTAACCCAAGTAGCTGGTACCCAAGGAGCTGTGTGTCTGACACAGTAATTATTCCATAGAAATCTGTTAAACAAATAGCGGATGAGGCTGGGCACGGTGGCTCACGCCTGTAATCCCAGCACTTTGGGAGGCCGAGGCAGGTGGATCACGAAGTCGAGAGATCGAGACCATCCTAGTCAATATGGTGAAACCCCGTTTCTACTAAAAATACAAAAAATAAGCTGGGCATGGTGGCGCGTGCCTGTAATCCCAGCTACTCAGGAGGCTGAGGCAGGAGAATTGCCTGAACCCAGGAGGCAGAGGTTGCAGTGAGCGGAGATCGCACCATTGCACTCCAGCCTGGGTAAGAAGAGCGAAACTCCGTCTCAAAAAAATAAAATAAAAACAAATAGCAGATGAATGGTGAAATTGATGAATATAGATTGAGATGATGACCACGGAGGTGGTTGAATGGATGCAGGAGGGTAGATGGATAAATGGACAGATTGATGAGTAAGAGAAGGGGTATGTGGATGGATAGCTGTGTAGATTATTGAATTAATGAACTGATGAATTCACGAGTGGAAAGTCTATTCTACTGCCACCTGGACAAAACATGGTATGTTTAGCATGGCTATTGCAGGAATTATTTGAAGGCCTCCTACCCACTTCCGCTAGTACTAAGCAGAGTAGATGAGAGCTGACGGGAGGAGCAGACCCCTCTACTTCCCCAGCCCCTAGTTCCTCTAGGCTGGGCTGAGCCCACCCCACCACCACCATCAATGAGTACCTGAGGCGGGAACCTGTGGTGCGGAGGCCGTAGACACCACAGAAGCTGGCTGGTATGCGGATGCTGCCGCCTGTGTCAGTTCCCATGCCTAGGATGGACCCCCTTTCTGCTAGCAGAGCTGCCTCACCCCCTGAGGAGCCACCACATGTCTTCTTTAAGTTCAGTGGGTTCAAGGTCTGGCCATAGATGGGGTTGCTGCATTCCAAGCTAAGGGAAGCGGAAGAAAAGGAGCTGAGGGTGAAAGCCTCACTGGGCAGACCCCTCCCCATATGGGGGCCAACCACCCTCCAGGGTTAACCCCAGGGCTTCTTTGCGCCATGAGCTCCTCCCTAAGGCTGAGGCCTTCTGGTCTCCCTTCCAGCTGGGGTGAGGGGCTGCTGCAAGAAAGATCAAGATCAGACACCAGCCATGACTCCTAATATCAGAACCAAAGAGCCCACAGCTCTGCCATGAGAACTGTGAACAGGTTTCTCACAAAACATAGATGCACTACAGAGTAGGGAAGGGAGAGAAGAAGCAATGGAGAGAACAAAGAGAGAAGCCTGGGTAGAAATAGAACAATTCGAGAGAGAAACAGAATGTAGCTTCACAGAACCTTGGAGCCCAAAGGGCCCTTACAGACTGTGGAGTCCACCCACATGTTCTAAGATCAAGAAGCCCAGAGGAGAAACAGGGCCTGCCCAAGAACCCTGGTCTTTGAAGTCTGCACCCTCTGCCCTGAATCGGAACTTTAAAGAGCTGTTTCAGCCCTGGGGTCAGTCCAGCCCCGGACCCCAGCCAGCCCACTTCAGAGACCTGAGCAGTGTCTGTGGGATGTTGGTCTTAACAAAGGGGATGGCTCCTTGGGCCTTGAGCACTTTCACAATGACCCCGTCCTTGGTTGCAGGCTTCTCCAGGAACTGGGCCAGGCCACACGTAGAGTCATGTCCCTGCAGAGGAGGAACGTTACCTCCAGCTGTAGGGGTCAGGGTGGAACCACCCAGCTGGCTAATTTTCAACCTCATCCCACCCCTGACTCATACACACTCTCACACCCTTGGAGACACAAGCATGGCACTTCACAGGTGGCAGAAGAATTTGTTGGCTGAGAGTTTGGGGTTTAGAACCAGACTCCTGGGTTCAAACTTCAGTTTGCCACTTTGTAGCTGTGCGGTTTTACATCATTTGCCCAGGGTCACACACCGAGCCTCCCAGTGTCACATGCCAATATCCAGACTTGGTAGCACAAGTGCGCATATACACATTCACGTGCATGTACACCCCAGGCTTACCGTGCAGTCATAGGGGTCCTTGAGGCTCATGGGGACCCCATAAAGAAGGCCTCTCTCACTCTTCTTAAGCTTCTTCAACTCCTGCAGTTGCTCCTCACATTCCCCCAGGAAATCCGTCAGGCAGTTCACCTCCTGGTGCGCCTTCAGTGCCTGAGCAACAGTGAAGACACCAGGAAACAGCTCCAGATGAGGCCAGGGCCAAAGCAGGGCACTCGGCTGCCCTGGCCTCTCCTACCACCCTGAGGTGACTGTACCACCTCCCAAGTCAGTGGCATCACCACAGAGTTAGCCCTGCCCCTCAGCTCCTCTAAGTAGAACGATGGCAGGTGACATCCCCCACTCCAGCGCAGAGCCACCAGCTTGGATCCTGTGCCCTGGCCACCACCTGCTCTAAGTAGCTGCAGAGGACACTCTCCAGACTCAGCTCTTCAGTCCGAAGCCTCTGGGCCAGCTCTGCCAGGGGCAGCTCCAGAATTGGCTTGGGGTCTAGGTCCGGCTCCTGCAGATATAAGATGGAGTAGGCAGATATCAAAGACAGACCTGCTGAGGCCCACTCCCACACACTCCCATCACACCCCATATGCCCCTACACGCACAGCCGCACACATGTTCATGTTTCTTGGTACATGTTCCCACTCTCATGCTTAGCAATAAAAACATCTGCTGTGACTCCAGGTTGTCATGAAAACCCTCCAAGGGCACTGGTGCTCTCCTCTGCCTCTGTCCCCAGTGTCCAGCCCAGGGCCCGGCATGGAGAAGGGCCTCCCCGTTCGTGTTGCCCGTCAGCAGGGTCACAACTGGAGTGGGGGTGACTCCACACATGACATCATGCGACTAGGGGTTATGGAAGTGAAGTTCAGCCCTGGACAGCCTGCCTTCAGTGGGCATCCCAGGCATCCCCCCTCTCCTCCCTACCCAGTCCTCTCCCTGCTGAGCTGACCTTAGGGAAGTAAGAGTCCAGCTTGGATGGTAAGAGAGTTGGCACCACCTTGGCTGCACCTTTGGTCAGCTGGGTAACTGGAGGGGGGCCCTGCCCCTCCCATGGCCTAGGTCTCCTCAGAGAGGGAAGGACTAGGAGTGAATCCTGAGTCAGCCATGCTGGGGAACCACAGACAGACAAGCCCCTCAGCTGCTCTGAGCCTGGTCCTTCAGGGTATGAGGGAGGCCTGATACAAGCCCATCAGAACTGCTGTCCTGGCAAGTGTGACATGACAAGGGTCTAGCACACAGCAGGCACTCAGGAAGGCAAGTTATCTTCCTCTTTCCCCCCTCAGCTCTGGTGGAACCCTAATGCCTCCAAGCTGGATTATGGGCTGGGCAGGAAGACGTCATAGTGGGCTTTTCTTGGTCCTCGACAGGGGACTGCAAGTGATCTAATGACTCCAATTTATCAGGAGTACTTTGAAAGACAGGGCCATCTTTCAAAAGATGATAGCCACATTGAAAGAGCCTCACGGCAAATTCTAAAAATCAACAAATTATTTGGAAATTATTAGAATAATTGGATGAAAAATTAAGCCTCAAGTTGTATCACTTTTTGGTCATTTTAATGTACAATTTAGTGTGGATCTAACCATCCCCTCCTGCTCCATCCCACAGCCCCGTGGACATCCGGCCTTCTCTGTACTTAGGATGCTGTCTCCAACCTAGTTTGAAAAACAAAAAATATGTAACTTCAAGTTTTGTTTTTTTTTCGAGATAGAGTCTCGTTCTGTCACCCAGGCTGGAGTGCAATGGCACTATCTCAGCTCACTGCAACCTCTACCTCCTGGGTTCAAGCAACTCTCCTGCCTCAGCCTCCTGAGTAGCTGGGATTACAAGCATCTGCCACCACATCCAGTAATTTTTGTATTTTTAGTAGAGATGGGGTTTCACCATTTTGGTTAGGCTGGTCTCGAAGTCCTGACCTCATGATCCGCCTGCCTTGGCCCCCCAAAGTGCTGGTGTGAGCCACTGTGCCCTGCCGTAATTTAAAGTTTTTAGTGAATTGATGTATTATTGATGTTTCCAATGTGGTGGTTAAATCTTTAGTATCATAAAACCCTCAACTCTCAAGGTGGTTAAGCTCTGCCTGAGGTGAGCAGAGCTTCCTGGCCAAGAGCAGCTGGTCCATTTACCCAATGTGTCCTGGAATATTATTTTCTTTTTGTTTGTTTATTTATTGAAACAGTTATTTTTTTGAAATGGAGTCTCACCCTGTGACCCAGGCTGGAATGCAATGGCGCAATCTCTGCTCACTGCAACTTCCACCTCCAGGGCTCAAGCAATGCTCCTGTGTCAACCTCCTGAGTAGCAGGGACTACAGGTGCCCACCACCACACCTGGCTAATTTTTGTATTTTTAGTAGAGATGGGGTTTCACTATGTTGACCAGACTGGTCTCTGACTCCTGACCTCACCTGCCTTGGCCTCCCAAAGTGCTGGGATTAAAGGCGTGAGCCACCACGCCCAGCCAGGAATATTATTTTCTCTATGTTCTACAGAAACACTGCCTCATCTGGGGATTCTACCTCCCTGATACTTCCTTTCTTGTTTCTCCCTTCAGAAAACTCCTGCAGGTGCGGTGAGGTTCAGCTCACACACCACCTGTCTGGGGAGCCCTCCCCACATGACCCTCTCCAGACAGACCAGCCACCCTCCTCCCAAGTCGCCAGCTCTGTGGGCATCCGGCCTCACCACATTCTGCTAAGCTGTCACCTGGCATAGCCTGCACAGCTATGCCTCCACCATGCCCCACCCAGGTTGGGAACATTTTTAGCACAAGCGTTAGTCAAGCATCAGATTCATAATTCAGCACAGGGCAAGACCTAGAGAAATCCCTTGGGAAATTTTACTAAACTCAGCTGAATTGGACTGGTTTGCCTGTGAGGGCTTGACCTGTGTCCCAGCCTTGCACCTCCCGTGGGACATAAAGGTGGACACCTGAGGTTTTAAGGGTACTGCTGGCGGAGAGAGGGTGACACGACTGGGAAGATGCCTCGGACAGACTGGTATAGCCTGTTGGGGAGAGAGCAAGGTGCTGAGAGCCAAGAAGCCTGAAGCCACGATGGGAGGCTGGAGACACCATGAATGACCTCACCTCAAACCCCTTCCTCTCCTTCCGACAACCAGACATCTACCCACTCCAGGTCCCCAGCCCAACAGCCCAGGCATCGACGCATTCACCAACTAGATGCCCAGACATACGCCGAACCAGCTGCCCCTGCACATCAGACACACAACCACACGTGAACACTCTACCAGACCTTCAGACCCACACTAGCCACATGTAGTTAGAGGTACACACTCCAACCAGTAACCCAACACATGCACACCCAGCCAGGCAGATAACCACACAGCCAGACCAGACACACACCTACCACGACACAATGAAACGCCAGCAGGAGGCACACAAAAGCTGGCCATCATCCGCAGCAATGGAAGCTGCACCCACCACCGCGCACAGATGGGGCCTCCACACACACACAGGACACCTCCATCATGCCCATTCACCACTGCAACCATTAGCCCAGACTTCTCGTCAGCCAGGGAGGGGCATCTGCTCTCTGGGGGCAGATTGATTTATCCAACTAATTAGCCCCAATTAATATTAATACACATACTCAGCAACTGCAGCAGCTCAGACAGAGAAGCTGCCCGTTGGGGCCATCAATCATGCTCCAGGGGACGGCAGAGGACACTCAGGAACTCCAGAGCATGGGAACATCACCTCAGGCACTATCCTCAGCCCCAAACCCCTGGCTCCCAGATGGAGTCCACCATCATCAACCAAAGCTGGGGACCCCAGGATACCATGAGCCCATCCCTCCAGGCAGCTGGGGAGCCCAAGGCCCAGAGATGGGTTGTCACATCGTCCAAGCTACACAGCAAATCCCAGGCTCAGTCTACATTTGTTTCCATGTCCCTCCTTCCCACCCTTCTCTCTGCCACCTGGAGCAGCAGGCTTTGCTGCTCCACCTCACCTGCCACTTCACCTGCCAGTCCCAGCCTGGCCAGCCACAGAGGTTATCCCAGTGCAATACCCCCACTCTGAGCTGCCAAAGCTGCCTTTTAAGACATGCAGCTTCCTGGGAGACCCCATCCTCAGCCCGCTGTGCTCTGCACTTCTCAGGGCTCAGCAAGCATTTTCAGAGCTGGATGAGATGGGGGGTGGGAGGGGACATTTAGACTAGGGTTCCTGTCTTGGAGTGTTAAAGGGCTGAGAGAGATCTGGCCTCCCTCCTCCAATTTTCTCCATCAGTTCATTTTATTTCAACAAATATCCCAAGTGAGCACCCCTCATGTTATTGATCCATGTGCCAAGAGCTGGGAGAACAGAGAAAGAACACACTGCCCGTAATCTCCAGGGTCTCAAAGGCCGGAGATGGAGGAAAACTGACAACCCCACACAGAGCTGGCATGGGGAGAGCCAGGGGCAGGGAACTGCCCACCTGCTCCCTGAGTCTGCAGGGGCTGGGGCCATGGACAGGAAGGGCATCCTGAGGTGTAGTCCTCCTGTTGGGATTGAGGGCCAAGGCCCCCTGGAGCTGGGGACCTCCGGGACCATGTCAACTCACCTGCTGCCGGAGCCGCTGGGCCAGGGCCTCCATCTTCTGCAGCGCTATGGCCCTCCGCTTCTGGGCCCTGGGGATCCTGTTCCGGGCTGGAGCGTGCCGCCAGGTGAGCAGGGCAGCCCCCAGCAGGGCAGCCCCCAGCAGCGTCAGCAGGAGCAGCATCACCAGGGAGTCAAACAGCCAAGCCACCCTGGGTACTGCGTGACCTGTGTGGATGCAGCTTCTCTTTCCTCAGGAACACATCCCATTTATCTGTCAGCAATGCTGCCAGGGCGTCAACTCACATCTGGAGCCCTGGGTGTGGCAGTGAGCAACCTTCTTCCTATTTCTTACCCCATCTGGACTTCCTAGGAACAAAACCCCTATCTCTCAGGCCACACAGAGGAAGAAGCTTTGGAAGATGAGCCTAAAGAGGGGCCCAAGCCTCCAGCTGGGCAGCTGACCTCACCTCTGTCACATCCTACTCCCACCCATCCTACCTCTCAGCTCCCACCCCTCAGACACCCCACTCCAACCTCAGGAGTTACAGATGGGGTCACTCCTGGGGTTCCCATTGCCGTCAAGATTCTCCCAAAGCCCTTTTTGTCCACATAAATGGATTTATGGAGGTGGACTGAACAGACCATGTTTGCCCAGAGTGGAAGTTCTGGGAGACAGGCAGAGAAGAAAGGACCACCCGGAGCAGCGGGCAGGGCTCATCAGCTATCCACCTCAGGCAAGATGATGCCAGGACGTGAGACTGGACAGCCTGGCTGGGCCTCCCCACTTGACTCCAAAACAAGGCCATGACTCTGATCTGGGGTTCCAGCCTCCCCAGGCTATTGGCTTTCCCTGCTGGTGGAGGGGAGTTGTAGGGGTGAGGGAGGCAACTTCCCAGAGGAGGAACAGAGAAGACATGAGGAGACTGGAAAAGCAGAGCTGAGGGGCCCTAATGTGGGAACCATTCTGCTCTCCTCGGGAGCCTCCGTCTGGTCTCCACCTCAATGGCCATCACTGAGGCTTCGAGTCACTGTACCCAGGAGAATGGTGCCTCTCCCTCCAGACCAGGAAGGCAGGGCAGCAGCAGGTCAGGGTGGAGAGGAACCGAGCTTGTGGTTGTTAATGTTGAGTCTGAGTACCCGAGGGGCCAAAGGAACAGATTCGAGGTCAGCAACTGACTAAGAGGTGACCCTGAAGTTGCCCACCCGTAACATTCTGTCATCTCCATGGGGCCTCCAGACCAGCCCTCCTCTGCCCTTCTGCCTCTTTTCTGACCATTTTCTTCCATACCCCCCACTCCAGCTTCATGAACTCCAGCTCTCTCCTATCTTTAGCTCCCCCAAACCACTCGTCCTCCACACCCCACCCATGGTACTCTAGGCCTTGTGACCTCCCTTTTTCTGGGTTACGCACTTCCATTACCACATACCTCATTTGATGTCTTCAATACACTATCATTAGCTGAAATTATCTTGCTGATCAGTCATCTCCTGCCTCACTCCCTAGAAAATAAGTTCCATAAAAAAGCACAGACCAGGCCAGGCATCGTGACTCACGCCTGTAATCCCAGCACTTTGGGAGGCTAAGGTGGGTGGCTCACTTGAGCTCAGGAGTTTGAGCCTAACCTGGACAACATGGCAAGACCCCGTCTCTACAGAAAATGCAAAAAAAAAAAAAATTAGCCGGGAGACACAGGGGAACATAGGCCTTGTCAGCCCTTTTCAAAACACCTGGCACATGGTGAGTGCTCAATGATCTCTCTTCAGTGAAGAAATGATGGCAGTTGAGTCCTCCATTCCTACCTTGACTTGCCCCTTCTGTGTGTTGCTGCTGGCCCTTTCCTACCGGCATTTAACATGCTTAAGTCTGTCCCATCTTGGGGGATGAGGGAGAATTCCCTCAGATCGACACCTTCCCTAACTACCACCCTGTCTTTTGTCTCCCTCCTGAGCTTTTCCATTTCTCTACACAGGCTGCCTTTACTTCTCCACCTTTCACTCACTCTTCCACCCAACAAAGTCTGGCTCATGCCTATCTCATCCCAGTGATCTCCTTGAAGGTAAATCAGCACCATTTAAAGTTGTCAACTTCACCTTTCTCAAAACACACTCATTCCTTGGCTCAGTGCTAATGCAGTTTTCAGCTTCAATGTTGCTTCCTCCAGGAAGCATTCCCTGACACATAGGCACACACATCTCAGGCCAGATCAGGTCCCATGTGGTTTATTCTCATAATACCCAGGCTTCTGCTTTATTGCACTTCTAATGAGTGTTTCTGGGTAATTATACATTTGATGTCTATTTTCTGGAAAAATGGAAGCTCTAATCAGGCAGGGACTATTTCTGATTGGTTACCCTGAACATACTATGGGAGCATTCAACATTTTTATTGGATGGATGGGAGGATGAAGGGAGGAAGCAACCCTCCATTGTAGTTCAGAGAGCAACTCTCTCTGAATTTCGATTTCCTTATGTATAAAATGGAAATAATAATGCCCATTTTCCAAATGAGATAATGGGTTCAACTCTACAGCCTGACGGATGTTGGATTCCATTAAGACACAGTCCTTGCTTTCTACCAGGTGCAGAAGCACAAAGAAGCTCTTTCAACACAGCCTGAGAGAGCTGGAGGAGTTAAGAGGATAGGAGCAGTGGATAGATAAGGATCTGCAGACCAGGAAAAAGCTATAGGTTGAATGTAGACTGGGAGTTATTTGTCCTCATGGGTGCTACTCAAGATCATGGCAGTAGATAAGATAAATGTGAAAGGACTGACTCAAAAATTCCCTTTTGCAGGTGAGAGGAAGAAGTAATCTGAATGGACCAAAATGGGTTCCCTAATAACAAGTCACTCATTGCTCCATCCAATAAGCCTTCTCTGGGTACCCACTGAGTACCAGGCACTGGGTGCTGAGCATATACAGCCCTGACCCCAAGCAGTTTCACCTTCCTGAGGTGCCCAGGGTCACTACCCCAAATCTAGGTGTAGGAAACTTGAGAGGGCCCAGCCAAGCCCAGCCAGAGAAATGTGAAGTAAAGATAGATCTGACTTGGTTATGTGTTTGTCTCTTAGGGGTGCAGGTCACGCCCTTTCCTTGGTCCTCCTCTGATCAATAGCTTTATGAGTGACTTGGATGAAGTGGCAGAGGTCCAGTGCTCAGACTTGTGGATGCATAAGAACAAGTTGGGAAGAAGAACAGAAATAGCCAAAGCCTTTGAAATAATCCTAAAAATGGGCCAGGAGTGGTGGCTCATGCCTGTAATCTGAGCACTTTGGGAGGCCGAGGCAGGCGGATCACCTGAGGTCAGGAGTTCAAGACCAGCCTGGCCAACATGGTGAAACCCTGTCTTTGAAAAATTAAAAAATAAAAAATAAATCCTAAAAATCATGTGTAACAGGAACAAATGGCAAGTGCTCCGGCTGTGTCCTGAAACTCCAATATCACAACCGCAGGGAGAGAAAAGGGAGGATTGACAGGGATGTGACAGACATCTCCTGTAAACAGATACTAGCAGAGGTGCACAGTACACGGGGTTGCTTCTATCTTCAAAGTGTTGTGGTCACCTAGCACAGAGGCTGGTGCCCAGGGAATGCTGAATGCATGTTCTTGTGATGATTGTACAAGTGAGGAAGGTACAGTAAGTTTGGAGTTGAGCATGTGGGGTTCAAGTCTTCTCATAATCCATAATGATCAGCCTTCAACAAATCAGCAACCCCCTCTGAACTTCAGTTTCTTTACGTATTAAATGGAATAATAGGGCCAGGTGCACTGGCTCACACCTGTAATCTCAGCACTTTGGGAAGCCAAGGCGGGCAGATCACTTGAAGTCAGGGGTTCAAGACCAGCCTAGCCAACATACTGAAACCCTGTTTCTACTACAAACACAAAACATAGCCAGGCATCATGGCATGCACCTGTAGGCCCAGCTACTCAGGAGGCTAAGACAGGAGAATCGCTTGAACCCAGGAGGTGAAGGCTGAAGTGAGCTGAAATCGGCTGAAGTGAGCTGAGATTGCACCATGCACTATAGCCTGGGTGACAGAGTAAGACTCCATCTCAAAAAATACAGAAAAAAGGCCGGGCGCAGTGGCTCAAGCCTGTAATCCCAGCACTTTGGGAGGCTGAGGCAGGTGGATCACGAGGTCAACAGATCGAGACCATCCTGGTCAACATGGTGAAACCCCATCTCTACTAAAAATTACAAAAAATTGGCTGGGCACGGTGGCGCGTGCCTGTAATCCCAGCTACTCAGGAGGCTGAGGCAGGAGAATTGCCTGAACCCAGGGGGCGGAGGTTGCAGTGAGCCGAGATCGCGCCATTGCACTCCAGCCTGGGTAACAAGAACGAAACTCCATCTCAAAAAAAAAAAATACAGAAAAAAAAAAAGGCCAGGCAGGATGGCTCACACCTATAATCCCAGCATTTTGGGAGTCCGAGGCAGGTGGATCACCTAGATCAGGAATTCAAGACCAGCCTGACCAACATGATGCAACCCCATCTCTGCTAAAAATACAAAAATTAGACAGGCGTGGTGGCAGCTGCCTGTAATCCCAGCTACTCAGGAGGCTGAGGCAGGAGAATAGCTTGAACCCAGGAGGTGGAGGTTGCAGTGAGCCAAGATTGTGCCACTGCACTCCAGCCAGGGCAACAGAGACACTTCATCTCAAAATATTTTTAAAATTTTTTAAATTTTTTAAAAATGGTAATAATAATGCCCATTTTCAAAATGAAATCATGGATATTCAGTTCCACAGACTAATAGATGTTGGATTCTATTAAGACACAGATCTTGCTTTCCACCATGTGCAGAAGCACAAAGAAGCTCTTTCAACACAGCCTGACAGAGTTGGAAGAATAGGGCAATTGCCCCCACCTTGGGCGAGTAGGCAGTCTTTAGGTGGAAACCCCAGGAACAACACTCCAGGCACAGCAGTATTGTGAGCAAAGGGCACAGAGGCGGGAGACGCCTTCGGTGTTTGGAACATTACCTGCAGGCCATGTGACCAGGATGTGAGCATTTGGGAAGGGGAGGAGGTGATGCCACAGGGGCCAGCCGCAGGATGAGGTGAAGCATGGCCTTGCAGGTCATAACAAGGCATCTGGACTTGGCACAAGTGAGTCCAAGCATTTTAAGCATGGCTCTCAGGAAGCTTACAGTTTAGTGGAGGAGACAAAAAAAAAGCATAAAAGATTTCAGATGGTGATAATGCTATAAAGAACAGTAGCCTGTTAGAAAGTAACAAGGAAAAGGCA